CTGCGAGAAGTCATCGCGCAGCTCGAGGAGCGAAGAAACCCAGGCTGCCCTGACGAAAAGCACATGGCTTCTGGATGCGCGCCCCCACACTGTACGAGTAACTGAATATATTATTATTTTTCTTCTTCTTCTTCTTCTTCTTCTTCTTCTTCTTCTTCTTTTCTTCTTCTTATAGACTTCGGTCGGGCATGTCCTCCTGCAGGCGGATTTCGACATGCTCATAACAACTAGTCAAACATACTCGGTGTATGATGATAGTAATACAAAAAATCATTACCTCACAGCGAAGACTGATAGGTTTCTAGTAGGGTCAAAGAGAGCATCATGACGCCCCAAGGGGGTCTGGGCGCGATCCGGGGGAGGGTGCCGGGGACTTTTTCTTAGCCAACAGTTACACATTTCGTGGTCTTCGAGGTCCCATAACTCCATTCCCGGGCCACATTCTGAATGCCCGGAGCCAACTGTAGGCCACTTCGTGGTCTTCGAGTTCCCAGAACTCCATTCCCGGGGCACATTTTGAATGCCGGAGCCAACTGTAGGCCACTTCGTGGTCTTCGAGTTCCCAGAACTCCATTCCTGGGCATGATTTTGAATGCCCGGAGCCAACTGTAGGCCACTTCGTGGTCTTCGATTCCCAGAACTCCATTCCTGGGCATGATTTTGAATGCCCGGAGCCAACTGTAGGCCACTTCGTGTTCTTCGAGTTCCCAGAACTCCATTCCCGGCCCACATTTTGAATGCTGAGGCAGGCTGATGCTGAGGCTGAGGCAGGCTGAGGCTGAGGCACGCTGAGGATGAGGCCGAGGCTGAGGCTGAGGCTGCAGGCTGAGGCTGAGGCTGAGGCTGAGGCTGCAGGCTGAGGCTGAGGCTGAGGCTGAGGCTGAGGCTGAGGCAGGCTGATGCTGAGGCAGGCTGAGGCTGAGGCTGAGGCTGATGCAGGCTGAGGCTAGGCAGGCTGAGGCCGAGGCTGAAGGCAGGCTGAGGCTGAGGCTGAAGCTGAGGCTGAGGCTGAGGCAGGCTGAGGCTGAGGCAGGCTGAGGCTGAGGCTGAGGCTGAGGCTGAGGCTGAGGCTGAGGCAGGCTGAGGCTGAGGGCAGGCTGAGGCTGAGGCTGAGGCTGAGGCTGAGGCTGAGGCTGCAGGCTGAGGCTGAGGCTGAGGCTGAGGCTGAGGCTGCTGATGCTGAGGCTGAGGCTGAGGCTGCAGGCTGCTGAGGCCTGAGGCCGAGGCTGAAGGCAGACTGAGGCTGGCTGAAGCAGGCTGAGGCTGAGGCTGAGGCAGGCTGAGGCTGAGGCTGAGGCAGGCTGAGGCTGAGGCTGAGGCTGAGGCTGAGGCTGAGGCTGATGCAGGCTGAGGCTGAGGCAGGCTGAGGCCGAGGCTGAAGGCAGACTGAGGCTGAGGCTGAAGCAGGCTGAGGCTGAGGCAGAGGCAGGCTGAGGCTGAGGCTGATGCTGGCTGAGGCTGAGGCTGAGGATGCTGAGGCTGAGGCCGAGGCTGAGGCAGACTGAGGCTGAGGCTGGCAGGCTGAGGCTGAGGCTGAGGCTGAGGCTGAGGCAGGCTGAGGCTGAGGCTGAGGCTGCAGGCTGAGGCTGAGGCTGAGGCAGAGGACTGAGGCTGAGGCTGGCAGGCTGAGGCTGAGGCAGGCTGAGGCTGAGGCTGCAGGCTGATGCAGGCTGAGGCTGAGGCTGATGCAGGCTGAGGCTGAGGCAGGCTGAGGCTGAGGCCGAGGCTGAAGGCAGACTGAGGCTGAGGCTGAAGCAGGCTGAGGCTGAGGCTGAGGCAGGCTGAGGCTGAGGCTGAGGCAGGCTGATGCTGAGGCAGGCTGAGGCTGAGGCTGAGGCTGATGCAGGGTGAGGCTGAGGCAGGCTGAGGCTGAGGCCGAGGCTGAAGGCAGACTGATGTTGAGGCTGAAGCAGGCTGAGGCTGAGGCTGAGGCAGGCTGAGGCTGAGGCAGGCTGAGGCTGAGGCTGAGGCAGGCGGAGGCTGAGGCTGTGACTGCAACTGCCGTTGCCACTGCGACTGCCATCGCGAATGCGACCACGACTGCGAGAACAGCAGAATTCTACAACGGGATTCTCATCTGAATCTTAAGGGGAATGTTTCCAGATATGCTCCTACACATCGCTGTTAGGTTGCTTTGCCGGGGTAATTTGACTATGTTCTACCACTCTTGAATGTTCTTCCCGTAGAGGGACATGCCCGACTTCATTGTAGACCTCTCGACGGCCCAAGACGCTGGCAGCGCTCAGCCATGAGCGCCCGCCACCAGAAGAGTCGCCGCATGCGCCAGAAATCTCAGACGAACGCGTTCCACTGCTCGCAAAATACCTACTCGCAAATGGCCTGAATCCGCCGCGGGGGCTCGACGATCCGGTACGCAGGGGAAGACATGTATTTCGCGGACGTTTACGAGAAGGCACTTTGCGAGTAGGAGATCGGCTACATAATTGATTTATCTCTACATGTTGTTCAGTCGAGTCTACGCAAATACGTTGATTCGACAAGAGCTTTGATGTTGGGGTAGATCGATGTTGCAGTCGATCTCCGGCTCGAACTTTGCGAGTCGGGGAACGCGCTCGCTGAAGTCTGGGCCTCGTCCCTGGGAGCCGCTCTCCGTTCCGGGTCGGTGACTCGGTGGGCCCCTGGGGCCCAGAGGCGGCCCCAGGAGACCGAGACCGAGGCACAACTGGCGGGATTGAGACGCATACCTTCTGTTGCATCCTCGGGGGGCCAAGTCTGTCCCATCGCGGCCCTATCCGCGTCGAATCCGTGTCGAGTCCATGTCGGACTCGTCGAGTCCGTGCGAATTCACGCCAAGTCCGAGTCCTGTCCCCATCGAGCCCTCGTCGGGCACAAGATAAGACACCAGGTTGGGGGGACAGGCGAGGTCCCTCGAAGGTGCAAAATGACATACCCCAGCAAAGCACCCCGATAACATCTACTCATAGCATAGCCAAGATGACACCCGGACAGGGGTGGAAGCACGGCCACGTGCACCGTATGGAGCTTCTTGCAACGAGGCTGGCGACGCGCACAGGGGGGCAGGGAGAGGGGAGAGGGCCTCTTGGAAGGAGGCCGATCCTCAGAAGGCGCCGGCCCCACATCTGCAGACAAGGCCCGCGCCCTCTAAGGAGCAGGGGTGCTTCTCTAAGAAGCGTTCCGCCCTGCCCTCTCCCCCCTTGGCGCGTGGCCGATGGCAACCACCACCGCCGCTCTTGTTCGGAGGAGCCCCGCTGCGGCCCCCGGGCGCGAGGGGCGGGGGGGGGGGGGACCCCAGCCGTCGTCGGCGGCGGGGCTGCGACGGGGGGCCGAGGCGAGGGCCGACGAGGCTCGTGGCCTGCCAGGCGGAGGCGAGGAGACGGCGCCGGCACCAAAGGTCGCGAGAGAGGCCTCGGGCGAAGCGGCTGCCCGACCAGAGACGAGCTCGGGCGGCGCTCCCCGGGCGTCTCCTTCCCCCCTTGTGGGACTCTTCCGCGGTCCTTTTGTGAGAGCCTCCCAGATGGGGTCGGAGTGCCGTCGGACCTGGGACCCATGACATGATAGCATCCTTCAAGAACATGAGACTCTCCGCCGGCCCAAACAACCCAAACCATAAGATCATTCGATGGTACTCTCCCCCAGGATGCACAAGAGCATCCAACAAATACGAAGAAAGTTAGGGTGCCCTCCCCGAACAGAACTCGATCTTATACCTCGGTCCGACTGTAGTTAGGGTCGGAGGATCGTGCCGCATCGTCGATGCATGATACACCGGCGATGTCGGTGCGGAGAAAATCGGGCTCCGCATCGAGCCACATCGAGCCGCATCGCCGACGCATCGGCGCTGCGGCGCGACTCTCCGATCCTACCTGCTTCTCGGAGGCCTAACTTTTCACCTCGAAGATTGACAGAACACACTTTAGCAAAACGCCCTGCTCTGAAAGCTGCCAGGGGCACTTCACGTGCGCACGGCACCGCATTCAGAGTGGACCCCAGGGGGGTAGCTAATCGACGTCCAGTAACAACCGAATGCATCTGGCGAAAGGCACGTGATTAGCGAAACCGACTGGAGACTGCACCGGCACACTCGAATGCCGATGCCGAGTGAACCGGTGCAGATCTCTTCAGTTCACCTGTCTGGGTGGGCGTTCTCTCAGTGCCCCATACTTGAACCCTCTAGCGACACAAGAACGCCGATCGTTCGACGCCCTGGGCCGCTGGCAGCGCTCAGCCTGGAGCGCCCGCCGCCCGAAGCAATCGTAGTCGCGCCCGCTGGCGCCACGGCCGGGTTGGGCGAGGCCCGGAGTCAACGACTCAGAGGGGCGTGGGCTGCAAACCGCGCCGGGGGGGGACAACTCATGGGAGCCTCCCATGCCGTCTTGCTGGATCTTGCGAACGACGCTGACCGACGCTAATCGACGCTAGTCGACGCGAGTCGACCGATTACCAAACGCTGGCGCACGCTCAGGCACCCTAGAGACGGAATCACGGGGACAAACAAACCACCCATGAGTTGTTACCGAACGCGCTTGGGGGGGCGGGCGAGGACCTCAACACACTTCTCCGCCGCGCCCCGACGTGACGCGGGCAACGCGGTGCCCCCGAACCCCCAACGACGCGGACCCAGTCCACAAGAAGCCTTCCACAAGAGACCCAACCCTGAGACCCCAGGACCTCCATATGGATTTTTGGTGTCGGAAAAACGCCACGCCTTCTGGAGCAAGACCATCGAGACCCAGGAAACCCAGGGCACCCTGGAGGCAAGCAAGGCGTTTGCGGGCATGGGCCCCCGCTGTAACCACACCCGTTGTGCAACCGCCCTCGGGGATGGACAGACCTCCCTTTAGTAAAACATGGTTTAGTGAAAACGACCCAAGGCCCAAACCTGGCGGGCGCAAGCTTGGAAAATGACGGCCGCGGCGCCCTCTCGAGAACCGAAAACGGACAGTTCACTCATCGACGTGTCGGGGCAGGAGCTCTGCCCATCCCCGACGCCCAGAGAGGTCAGCGGCGCGCCAGCTGGCCTCCGGGGGCCGCCCTGGGCGCCGCGGCCGCTCCAGCCGCAGCGGCGCCGCCTGCGGCGAGGTCATCGCCGCCGCCGCCGCCGTGAGCGTGGTGGTGCGCGCGGGCGCCACGCCCCAGGTGGGCAGGAGGAGGAGGAGGAGGAGGAGGAGGAGGAGGAGGAGGAGCCGATTCGACAAATCGATCCACATGTCAAAGGAGGCGGCGGAGGGGAAGGAGGAGGAGGAGGAGGACAGGAGGAGGACAGGGAGGAATGGGAAGGACCCTGGGATATATATATATATATATATATATATGTATATACATATATATATATATATGTGTATATATATATATGTATATATATACATATGTATATATGTATATATGTATTTATGTGTGTATATATATATACACATACTCTGGGTTACCTGTGTGCCCGCGACGGGGCGGCCGCTCAAGGCACATGCGGGCGAGAACGGACATGCGCGCCCACGCGCTGAACACATGACCTGCCGTGCGGTCTTAGGAATCAGTGTCTGTGCAAGACGAAGCCAGGACGAGGATAACATCGGGTGAGGACAAATTGAGACTCTCTGAGATCTGGCGGTTCTGGAGGATGTCTCGGGCGCCGCGGCCTTCTCAGAGCGTTCCGGAACGCTCTGAGAGCGTTCTGGAACGCTGTAGAACGGATTCATCCTCGTCCTGGCCGCGTCCGACCTCCCGATCCCAAACTCATTGCAGAAGCATTGGACATCCAGACTCTAGAACAAACAGACGCTGCACAAGCATGACACTTCGGAAGTCCGCGCAACCATCTTGGATCGATGCCAGACCCCTGGCTCCTCGCGCCCTTGAGGGGTGCCGGGTGCCATTGAGGTGTCTCCAGCGTCGAGATAAGAAAGCTGCATAGAACTCCGAACGCTTATGCTTATGTACGGTCGGGAACTTTGCCTAGCGTTTCGCGGCGGCACTGGCAACACGCTATGCCCTGCAGGAGGATAGCGTGTCGCTCCGTTCCGCGGGGCGGGAGGCTGGGAAAGCCTCGGGAAGTGGACGCTTGGGGATCTGGGCGTGGCTGGCGTGTCGCGCCGAGGCGTCGTGGGCCAGAGCTTGCGGCGCGACGCGCTAAGGTAGCCACACTTCCTTACCGTATCTGTTCCTTCTCCGAGAGAAGGTCTCGTGACTCGGGATTGGCATGGGTCCGATGGCCCAGGTGCAGAGAGAGAGAGAGAGAGAGAAAGCAGGAAGGCATCGCGCGGCGGTCCACAAAGCGAGGGCGATGGTCCCGAGGGGGGGGGGCGGAGCGACGACGGCGGCACGGAGACCACGAGGGGCCCGACGGCGGATTGAGACTGAGATTGCGCTTGGAACAAGGGGGAGGAGGAGGAGTAGGAGGAAGAGGAGGAGGAGGCGGAGGAGGAGGGGGAGGGAGGAGGAGGAGGAAGAGGAGGAGGAGGAGGAGGAGGCGGAGGAGGCGGGAGGAGGAGGAGGAGGAGGAGGAGGAGGAGGAGGACAGCCCAAGAGGACAGCCCTTGCTGCCCTTGGGGTGCAGCCTCCCTGCTGCCCCAAGGCCTGGCAGAGAAGGCGCCACAAGGCCCCGCGGCGGAGCCATCCGCGGGGCCGACGCCGAGCGAGCGGGAGGGCCGCCGCATCGGAGGAGGGGCGGGCAGGAGGACGAAATGGAGGAGGAGGAGGAGGAGGAGGAGGAGGAGGAGGAGGAGGAGGACGAGGAGAGGGAGGGAGGAGGGAGGAGGAGGGAGGAGGAGGAGGAGGGGAGGAGGAGGAGGAGGAGGAGGAGGACGAGGAGGAGGAGGAGGAGGAGGAGGAACGAAAGGAGGAGGAGGAGGAGGAGGAGGTGGTGAGATGGGGCAAGAGACGGGGGGGGGGGCGCAGGGGGGGGGCGGGCTCAGGGGGGGGAAACATCCACCCGGAATCGGCGACACATCGCCGATGTATCGGCGGCTGACACCCTATCTATATCTATATATATATATACACATAAAATAAGACTGCATTGGCGCTGCGCGCCATGCGCCTTGGTCCTTTGAGTTCTGCACGCAAGCGGAATGCGTGCGTGCGTACATGCGCGCATGCATGTATACACGCGCGCGTGCATGTACGTTCTGTATAAATGTCTAGGTGTATACAATATACATACATTGATGTATGTGTGTATACAGCGTACATATGTACACATACATTTATGTGTGTAAGGGTATGAACATGCATGTGCATCTCGTACGGGGCATCCTCGGGCATCTTCGCTGCATGCCACGGGACCCTCAACGACTGGGTGACAATGTGAAATGTCATGGGGGCAAAATCAATGAATGTTGGCATTCGGAAACATCGTGGGGGTGTTTTCGGGGCCCTCGTGGGCCGTTTTGGCGCCTTCATGGGCCGTCCTGGGGCCTTCTTGGGCCGTCTTGGGGAGCTTGGGCCCGCTGGAGCCCTCTTTGGACCCATCTTGGGTACTTCCGGGGACCTCCCATGCCCTTTTGGGTCTGTGCTGGGAGCCATTTGGGGGCCTCTTGGTTCCATTATGGGCTGTCTTGGGGCTCTCGTGGGCGACTGTGGGGCCCGGCTCGGCCGTCTTGAATCTTTATTGGGGGCCTTTTGGAGCGTCTGGAGGCGATCTCGGGGGCTTTGAAACTGTCTTGAAAGCTGATGAAATCCGAAAGGCGAATATGCTAAACTTGTAAGTTTTACGAAGGGAATGGGATAATGTTTGTGCTTTGAAGGCCCCTTGGAAAGCTTTTTGGGGTGCCTTGGGGGTCTTTTGGGCCGTCCTGATGCAATTGGAGTCCCTCTTGGAGCGCTCTTGTGCTGTCTGGAGCCTCCCTTGAGCCTTTCTGATGACCCCTCGGATCGCTCTGGGTCTGCTGGCAAGGCGGTTGTGGAGACCCGGAAAGCTGGGTGAACTTTTCCAAGGACGTCCAAGGGAGCCCGAGAACCCCAGATCCCGGGGGTCCAGTTTTTTTTTGGGGGGGGAGGGTTTCCCCCCCCCCCCCCCGGGCTTGTAAAAATATAGGAAAAGGAATAGATGGAATCCGCATGCTCCTGGGCGGGGTGGGATAACATGCTCCTATTGGCGATCAATGGGCGATTGGGTGTCGATGCATTCCCCCCCCTGAGCCTATTCCCCCATGACGTTACCCCTGAGGCTATGATGCTGCAGAGGCTGCTGACGACGACGACGAGGAGAACGAGGAGGATGATGACGATGCTGGTGGCGATGGTGATGATGACGACGATGACGACGACGATTCTGATGCTGATGCTGATGCTGATGCTGATGCTGATGCTGATGCTGATGATGATGATGATGATGATGATGATGATGATGATGATGAGGATGGAGGACGAGGAGGAAGTGCGACGGGACAAACAACAAGTGCTGCCCTTGCCGACTCCGCCCTCCAACCGGCACCTTCCAGGCCCAGCGGAGGTGTGAGAGCAGAGCCGGCGGGGGGCCTGGCGGCGGCAGCACCTCCTCGAAGTTCTCCTCGCCACTCCAAATTGGCTGCGCGCACCAGGGGGGTAGGGGGAGGAGGGAAGGCTTCTTAGAAGGAGGCTGCTTCTTAGAAGGCGCTGGCCGCACATCTACAGACAAGGGCCGCGCCTTCAAAGAAGCAGGGATGTTTCTGAGAGGCCTTTCCCCCTCCCCGTACCCCCGTCTGCGCGTGGCCGGCCCGACCCTTTGCCCCAGTGCGCCGCGCGTCCGCCCTCGTCAACCCTTCCGTCGTCGCGCCCGCCTTCGCCTTGGCAGTCGTCGTTGTTGTCGCCGTCGTAGCCGCCGACGTCGTCGTCGTTTGCACCTTCCTGCGTCTAACTCGTTAAACTCTTCTTGACCCTTCCCCTCCTTATTGCCCTTCTTCTCCATCCAACTCCCGCTGCTTCTCCCGCCCCCGCTGCCGCAACTCTTCCCCGTCGACCTCCTCCTGCTCGTCGTCCTCGTCGTCGTCGTCGTCCTCCTCCTTATCCTGCTCATCCTGCTGCGCATGTTCATGTTCCTCCCCCACACCCACACACACCCGCACCCACATCCTTGTTCTTTATTAGTATATAACCCCCACCTACCTCGTATTCCGGCCGATAGCAACCCAATCCGGGACCTCCCATCCGGATTTTAAAAAATCAATGCAGAGTGGCCGTTTTTCTTCTCAACATCGTCTTTCTTGCCGTCGACGATGCGAAAAGCGTGGCAAGAATGGGACGCGGCGCACATCGCGCGCGGCAGTCAATCTGGGCCCGCCCATCCTGACTGCAAACATTCAATACAAAGTCTCCGTTGTTTCATCTCAGCATGGCCTGCCTTGTCGCCGACGGTGCGAAATATGTGGCAACAATGGGACGCGGCGCACCAATGGGACGCGGCGCACATCGCGCACGGCCGTCAATCCGGGCCCGCCCATCCTGACTGTAAAAAATCAATACAAAGTCTCCGTTTTTCCTCTCAGCATGGCTTGCCTTGTCGCCGACGGTGCAAAATATGTGGCACGAATAGGACGCAACGCACGTCGCGCGCGGACGTCCATGCGGGCCGCGGGCCCTCCCATCCGGACTGTAAAAAACAATACAGAGTACCACTACCACTACCAATACCACTATTAGTACTAGTACTAAAACTACTGCAACTACTACAACGACAGCAACTACTACTACTACTACTACTACTACTACTTCTACTACTATTACCACTACCACTACTACTACTACAACTACTACTACTACTACTACTACGACTACTACTACTACTACTACCTACTACTACTACTACTACTACCACTACCTACTACTACTACTACTACTACTACTACTACTATTACTACCACTACTACTACTACTACTACTACTACTACTACTACTACCACTACTACTACTACTACTACTACCACTACTACTACTACTACTACTACTATTACTACTACTTCTACTACGACTTCGACTTCGACTTCGACTACGACTACGACTACGACTACGACTACGACTATTACTACTACTACTACTACCACCACTA